CTTCTTCTGCAAGAAGCCTGGGCACATGAAGGAAGAGTGTCCCAAGTACGCCTCCTAGCATGTAAAGAAAGGTAATTTTCTCTTTTTTGTTTGTCCTGGAGTTAATTTAGCTTTTGTACCACATGATACTTGGTGGGTAGATTATGGTGCTATTACTCACATTAGTGTATCCATGCAAGGTTACCTTTGGAGCCGACCGCCAAGTGATAATGAAATATTTATCTATATGGGTGATGGCAACAAGGTCACAGTGGAGGCTATTGGAACATTTAGATTACAGTTAAAAACTGGATTTTATTTGGATTTATTTGAAACTTTTGTTGTACCGTCTTCTAGGCAGAATTTAATTTCTATTTCTAGTTTGGACAAATTTGGGTTTTCTTGTTCATTTGGAAATAATAAATTTAGTCTCTATCAAAATTCAAATATTATTGGTTCTGGTTCTTTAATTGATAATCTATACATACTAGATGTAATTAGTTCAAATAAAGAAATTTTTCATATTGATTCTCGTGGTACAAAGTGTAAAATAAATGAGAACTCAGCCACCTTATGACATAAGCGTTTAGGCCATATCTCTAAATAGAGAATTCAAAGGCTTGTGTCGGATGAGATTCTTAAACCCTTAGACTTGGTAAACTTTGAGATTTGCGTTGAATGTATTATGGGTAAACAAACAAATTTTAGAAAATTAGGTGCCAAAAGGGCTAATTTGGAATTAATTCACACAGATATCTGTGGACCATTCCCTACGACAACTTGGAATGAGCAACAGTATTTCATTATGTTATAGATGATTATTCAAGGTACGACTACCTATTTTTAATTCATGAGAAGTCCCAATTCCTAAACGTTTACAAATCTTTTAAAGCTAAAGTTGAGCTTCAACTTGAAAAGAAAATTAAGGCCATCAAATCTGACTATGGTGGTGAATATTACGGTAGATATGATGGATCAGGTGAACAAGGTCCAGGGCCTTTTGCACTTTTCCTAAGGGAATGTGGCATCGTTCCTTAGTATACTATGCTTGGAAAACCAAGCATGAACGGTGTTGCAAAACATAGAAGTATGATTAGTCATTCTTCTTTGCCAGAGTCATTGTGGGAAGAAGCGCTCAAGATTGTAGTTTACATCCAAAATAAGGTACCAAGTAAAGTAGTTAACAAAACTCCTTATGAGCTATGGACTGGTAAAAGGCCAAGCCTAAAGCATTTACACATTTGGGGTTGTCCAACTGAAATGTGTCCTTATAGGCCACATGAAAGCAAGCTGGAATCAAGGAATATTATTTTTTATTTTGTTGGTTATCCTAATTAAACGCTCTCGGGGCTATAAATTTTATAATCCTACTACTAGATCATTCTTTGAGACGAGGAATGAGAGATTCCTTAAGGATGTTGAGTTTGGGAAGGAAGAGAACATAAGAAATGTTATTTTTGAGGGAGAACCTGTCATTGATAGTGATCAAGTCTTCGTGCCTATTACTATTCCAGTACTTACCCTAGTAATAGGTGACAATCATGGATTTATTCCTAACATTGTCCCTGTACAAGACAACATTGAGGTTCTCCCTCAAATACCCATAGATCAAGCTCAACAACCTCGAGAAGTGTCATTAAGGAGATCCACTCGAGAAAGGAGAAGTTCAATTCCAGATGATTACATTGTGTTTCTCCAAGAACATGAGGATGGCATTGGTTTAACGGAGGATGACCCAATTAACTTCTGTTAAGCTATGCGTAGTTCTAACTCTCAAAAGTGGATTGATGCCATGGAGGATGAGATTAAATCTATGCAAGACAATGATGTTTGGGATCTCGTTGAATTACCTAAAGGTGTGAAACCTATTGATTTTAAATGGATATTTAAAATCAAGAGGGATTCAAAAGGTAATATCGAGAGATATAAGACTCGTTTATTTGCTAAAGGTTTCACTCAAAAGGAAGACATTGATTACAAAGAAACCTTTTCTCTGGTTTCTTCAAAGGATTCTTTTAGAATAATAATGGCACTCATAACTCATTATGATTTAGAGCTCCATCAGATGGATGTTAAAACTGCGTTTCTAAATGGAGACATTGAATGAACGATTTATATGATGCAACCAGAGAATTTTGTGTTTGGTGACTAAAAGTCTATGGTATGCAAACTAATGAAATCCATCTATGGTCTCAAACAAGCTTCCCGTCAATAATGTTATCACAAGTTCCATCAAGTTATTACCTCATATGGTTTTGAGGCAAATATAGTTGATTATTGTGTTTATCATAAGTTTAGTGAGAGTAAATATATATTCTTAGTGTCATATGTCGATGATATACTGCTTTCTAGAAACGATGTAGGCTTATTACACGAAACCAAGAGATTTCTGACAAAGAATTTTGAAATGAAAGATCTTAGTGAAGCCTCTTTTGTATTAGGTATTAAGATACTAAGAGATCGTTCTCATGGTATCATAAGGTTATCACAAGAGAGCTATATCGGTAAAGATTTAGATAGATTCAACATGAAAGATAGTAAACCAGGAGATACCCTTATAGCCAAGGGAGACAAATTTACCCTCAAATAGTGCCCTAATAATGACCTTGAAAGAAATGAGATGCAAAAGATTTCCTATGCTTTAGCTGTGGAAAGTCTAATGTACACTCAAGTTTTTGTACACGTTCCGATATTACATTTGTAGTGGGAGTTTTGGGCAAATAGTTAAGTAATCTTAGGATGCAACATTGGAAGGAAGTAAAGTGTTTAATGCGCTTTTTGAAGAGAACAAAAGGATATATGCTCACTTATCAGAAGTCTAACAATTTAGAGATCACTGGGTACTTAGACTCTGATTTTGCTAGATGTCAAGACAACAAATACTCCACATCTAGATACATCTTTATATTGGTCGGAGGAGCTATCTCTTGGAAGGTTAGTTAAACAGACTATTATAGCTTCTTCAACTATGGCTGCGGAGTTCATTGCTTGTTTTGAGCCGTCCAACTATGAGATATGATTGCGAAGAATTATGAAAATCAACTTTATTTCTGTAGAAAATCCAAATAATACAAATATCTAGAAAAATTAAAAAATAAAGAAGAAATACAACATAAATGAGACTCCCACTAAATTAAAGTACTATAAGGAATTATACCCACGCATAGATAAAAATATGCAAAAGTAGGGGCATTCCGAGAATTGAACTCGGGACCTCTCGCACCCTAAGCGAGAATCATACCACTAGACCAAATGCCCACATTGATAACGTTTGGGAAAAGTTAAAGCTATGTCAGTTTTCTTTTAAAGTTGTTTATATGTTGTACATTCTCTTCAGTTTTGACTTGCGATGGATTTCTTTTCTGACATTAAGGTTCCGTTGACAGTGTCATACTAGGTTTCCTTTTCTGACTGGCTTACATAAAATCAGACAGCGTGTGATTTGACATGTAGGTTATTCCATATCTCAATTGGGTTTGTGTAATGAATATGAATAAATAATTATGCTCATACATTTGTTTTTAAGATTAATATTTTTTTCCATACAATATCCTAAAATTAATAATCAAGAACTAATCAGTCGACTCTGTATCCTAGAACAGATTTTAAAAAGGTTGATATTTTTAGGTGCTATGCATCGTGGAGAAGACAACTATTCACAACCTCCTTCCTTATTCAATTTGAAATAACATACTTCATTGTAGAATGTAGAGTGTAAATGGCATAATTAGATCACATACCACAATCTGAGTGTTGAGATTGATGTTTGCAAACTTGTGTAGACACATGGAAATCAAAGCAACTGCTCGTATTATATTCTAGCTGAGAATGCAGTGACTAGTCAATGGCAAAACACAAGAGAAGAATGCAGTCATAGATAAATATTATGTAAAATAGAAAGGGGCATTCCGAGAATCGAACTCGGGACCTCTCGCACCCAAAGCGAGAATCATACCACTAGACCAAATGCCCTGTTATAGGAGGGTGGTTGTTTCTTAATAATACAAAATTAAATGATTTGGTGAAATTATTTTATGATTATGAAGTTAAACAATTAAGATATCGCTTCTGTTCTGTATACCTTTTATTTTAAGCACATGTCGTCACTAAAATGGTAGCATTCACATTTTTAATATCGTTTTAGCATGTATAAGTGGTATTGCAAAATTTTTATTATTTTTAGTTTTTACACCCAAGAAACTAAAAGAGACTTTTTCTTTGTTTTTATTGTACCGGCATACAAGTCAAACGTCCTGAAAACGTGCGTACATAGTCATGTTAAAATAAATTTAGAGTACTTCTTAATAGCAACTTACTAATATTAATTCAAAGATTGTATATATTACTCTAACTAACTCTGTTTAAGGTCATCCGCAATTCACTACTGTCCACAACCTCTCTTTCTTCTTTTAAACCTCCTCTGATTTATTTATCTTTTCTTCTCATTCCCATTTTTCTCAGGAAGCAGAAAGAGAGAGAGAAGCAGAGGGGGTGGATAAGGAAAACCTGAGCAAAGGAAATTCCTTGCAGAAGAGTGCCACTTCCCTCCTCTCTCTCTTTTTCTCCTTTTGGTAAATTAATAAAGGATGGCCAGTTTTGCAGGAACCACACAGAAGTGCATGGCATGTGAGAAAACTGTCTACCTTGTTGATAAGCTAACTGCTGATGGCCGTATCTTTCATAAGGCCTGCTTCCGATGCCACCATTGCCGCAGTACCCTTAAGGTACCTACACATTTCATCAACAATTCATGCTTTATCCTTTAATAGTACGTACAAATTATGCATGCATGCATTTATTACCCTCAATGCCAAATCATGCAATTTTTTATCACTTTGTTTGCATTGCAGCTTAGCAACTACTGTTCTTTTGAGGGGGTGCTCTACTGCAGACCTCACTATGATCAACTCTACAAGAGAACTGGCAGCCTGGACAAAAGCTTCGAAGGTATATCTAACTTTTCTTCCATCTCTTTAATTTTCATCATTATCATATGTTATATCTATCAATTTCCTTTTATTTCCTTGTTGGCTTGTTCTTTTCTGGTGTGCTTTCAACATTTTCCTAGACTAACATCTTTGGTTTTCACAGGAACACCAAAAATTCAGAAACCAGAGAAACCGATCACTGATAATGAGGTGATTTTTCTGTACGTAGCATGCATGCCTCATTTAGTGATGCCATTTTCATTAATTATTTTAATAATTTAATTTGAGCAGAATACAAAGGTGCTCGCAAACGTGTTCTTGGGCACCAGAGATAAGTGTGTGTGTTGCAAAAAGACAGTGTATCCCACTGAGAGGGTACGTAACCGATACATTGATAATTTTTTCAATATACTCCTAGCTAGCTCCTTCTAATAAATATTTATATGATATGATATGATTGAAGATTACTATTAATGGGACTCCATACCACAAGAGCTGCTTCAAGTGCACCTATGGAGGTTGTACTATAAGCTCATCAAACTTCATCACACACGAGGGAAAGCTGTACTGCAAGCATCACCACATTCAACTCTTCAAGGAGAAGGGCAATTACAGTCAGCTCGAGAATGACCAAGTTGCTACCACGGATGTCTCTGCTTAATTAATAATGTCTAATGTACTAGCTAGAAATATTGCTAGCAATGTTGTTCCGTATATGCAGCATTTTCAGTATGACTTATTTTGGTGGTGTCCTTTGTACATGCATTCATAACCCGGGAAAGGTTGCTTTAATTTGCTAACTCTCAGTTTTCCACTCTTCTTCTTCTTCACAATGCTTTCGCTTTCACCATTTAAACTCTTTATCACTATTACTAGCATGTATCAAATCTATATTTTAACTTTTAATTCATACAAAATATAAATAAGGGTAAAATGTAATATCTTTTGTGAAAACTATTACTACTTTTCCCTTCGTGATATATATAGATATTGTATAATTAACAATTACTATGTATAATTGTTTCAATATATAAGTATTTCTCTTTGAATCTTGTTAATAATTAACGACTAACGACTTAGAACATTAGGTAAAAAAATTTTAATTACTTAATCAATGTCCACAGAGAGAAATGTGTGTGTTTCTATTTAATCTTTAAGAGATATATTAGTAGAAAAAATTCAAAATAAGATAAGAGTATAATTATATCTTTCAAAAAAATGGACACAAAAAAAGTGTATCTTCTTATATTGTTATAAATAAATAATATTAATTAATATCTAGCAACTATTCAAATTAAAGGTTTAGTAATAATGAAAAATACCAAATTAAAAGTTGTAAGTTTAAATATCTCAACACTTATACTTGTTAAATAAGAATAAAGGTTCAATCTTTGACTTAAACATGAAGTTGCGATTACAAACATCACTTTATTTAATTTATATAGGAATTAACACTTCTTTATGTAACAAATAGATAAATAAATAATAATAATAAGTTTTTGTGCAAGAAGTACAAAGTATATGCATATCATGATTTTTAATTAAAAAAACACTTATTATTTTTTAGTCACTGTTTGTAAAACACTCATTAATAATACTCTTATTTACGATAATTAATAGAGCTATATATTAAAGTGAGCGGTCATATATGTTAGCCCAACATGGATTGGGCAAAAAGTGAACCAATTTATGTAATTAATATTCACTCTTCGACGAGTTAAAAAAAGGTTCACCCATCTTCAATTATCACGAATTGATGAGTTAAAGTTGACTCACCTAAAATTAAAATAATCTGTATAAGTAAAGTATATAAATAAATAAAAATATACAAAAAAATAAAATTTAAGTTATAAAAAAATTAGGACGCCGTTGTATAAAAATAAAAATAAAAATAAAAGCGCTAAACAAAAAATCAAAGTACCAGTAAATTTATTATATTTTATTCCGTAATTTATATGCATTAATCACATTGACATTTCAATCATATATCTATATATAAAAATAATGAGCTCCTATGTATTATTAGAGGTGTTTGCAGTGTAATTTAACTTATATTTTTGGCTTAAAAGTTATTTCAACCAAAAAAAAATAGTTTGGATCAATTTAAATGTATTATGAAATTCAAATCAATTTTATGCAACAAAATCAAACTAATTTTATGCGGTTTTGTTTAGTTTGAATTTTGTGATTTAAAAATATTATTTAAAATAACTAAAAAAATGTAATATTTATTTAAAACTTATCCATTGAAAATAAAATCAAAAGTATATAAATATTGAAAAAATTGTCACTCAATATGTTAAACACTAATTCTTATCTTATTATTCTATTGAAAATATTTCTTTAATACAATTTTAGTTATTATGTTAAATATTTTTTCTTGTATATATAACTTTTCTCTTAAAATAAAACTATTTTCAAATATTTTAAATATTCATAATTTTTCTTTCTAAAATTCAGTTTAATAACTTATAATTTTATAAAATAATTTTTACCAAATATATTTGATTTAAAATATCTTTTAAATCAAATATATTATGACGTACATTTGGGAGAAAAGAACATATTTTAGTAACTTACAATAAAAAGTAACTTGTAATTATATAAAACACTTTTTTATATTATATACGTTAATGTTGTATAAATACACTATGCATGCATTAAGGAAAAAAATATATTTATATAAAAGCTTGGTTCAAATTGGTTTGGGACCATTTTACATTCCGAATTGCAAACCGAAACAAATTGTATAGTTTAGGAAAATAAAAAACAAAACAAAACCCCTAGTTAATTTACATTTTTTATTTGTATAATTTTTTTCAATATATAAAGGACCTACATAATACAGTATAATTAAATAGTAAAAAAATAATAAAATTATAATTGATTTGATTTTATTTACTATACAATAAATCTTAAATCACAAATTACGCACAAAATAAATATGAAATAAAAAATTTATATTAAAAATAATAAATAAACAAAAAAATATAATAAAAAAAATTAGGCAGGTCGATGGGCCATCTCGTTCTAGTCTGCCATTTGGTTCGATGGGCTGGTGAGCTAGGATTAACCCAACTCGTCAATTTTTTACAAGCCAACGAGTCAGCCCATAGGTCATGACTCATTTTGTCACCCTTACACCTGACACCTTTAACATCACCAAATCAAATACATTTCTCTCTCCTCATAACGCCATTTAAAATCACGCCTGCAAGTGACCGAGTTAGAGACATGTCTCTTTCTTTACAAAATGGCTCAAATCACCAAAATCACTTCAACATTCTCCAATACAATAATAACTCTAAAATTTTCATCATTCCACTATAAATCAATCAACATAACAACATTTTGAAGAAAATCAATCCACATATATGTCAACAATCCAACAAAATCCAAGTTCTAGCTCTCTCTACCTCAAGATAACTATGAAAAAGATGAAGAAGGAAGAAAATAAATTATGGACTCACTTTTCGAGCAACTCCTCACAACACCTTCTGATTCTCAACTTTTTGAGCTTTGAATTGCCATACTACAACTAGAATCTTCACACTCTCAGGAAGATAAGAAAAGAAAGTTTAGGGATCAGAGTCCTTCTCTCTAGACTTTTTGAAGAAATGAACTTATGAAGTCCACTTCTAAAGAAATTTCTTATATACATTTCTCTTGTAAGTCAAACTCGACTAATATCAAAGAACTCTTAATAACTATAACTCTTAAGAAATTCCTTAATTTTTTGAACTTCTCGATAACAAACCCCCAAATCACAACTCATAATCATTGATAAAAATAACAATAATTAAAAAAAAATATAATTACAAAAGTAAAGAGTATATTTAGAATAAAACTTAGAAATAATAACTAGGAAGGTTTTTTTTTGCAACTTACTTTGTTATGCACAATATCTATTTTTGAAAGATTAAGCTATTTAAAAAATTAAATATAACATTAATCATTTATGTTTATAATAAAAAAAATTGATACATGATTATTATTATTATTCTGTTATTATGATAAATGTAAAAAATTTAAAATTAAATAAATATAAGAATATAATTAAATAATAATTAATAATATATTAATTTTTAAGTAAATAAACAGGTTTTTTGTTCAAAAAGTAAAAAATAAACAGGGAATATGACCATTGATTTTTATATCAACAACTGAACTTAATTCATTATTATTTTCTTTTAGAAGACTAGTATCTGAGTCTCCGTAAGGATGGACAAAAAAAACTAAACTAAGCTGAACTGAACTGAACTGGTGGATTGAAAGTTCTTTACTTTTAAATTGTATATACAAAATTTTATATTAATCCAATAAGATTTGATACTTCATTTTTATAAAATAAAATTAACGTAATATATACATTTTAAAATATATTAAAATATAAACACTACCTCAATTGAACATCAATTTTAACAAAATTTGACATAAACATATAAAGTGGTATAAACTTTCAATCTAACAATTAGATTTACAAAATTAACATTTAATATAAAGTTATTGAACGATGTAATACTTAGTAAATATTATACCGATGTTATTATAACCTGGAATAGAAAGAGTTTTGAGACAGTATGATTGATTCACAAGATTGGGAAAATTGGTTACAAAACTGATTAACCAATTCTGAATCATATAGTTTTCTAATATACTAGTTGGTTTCCCCAACGTACTATTAACTACTAAAACACGAAACTTTAACCAAAATAGTCCTCCTATTATTAACTATCCTCACTTAACTACCTGTAATTCTCTCTAATTACAATTTAACCTGTATCAATGCCCCACCCTTACAAAAATCCTTGACCTCAAGGATGGAAATTTGGAAACTTTTTCATCAAATCATAGTAAAATTCCTAAGTTGAGTCTTCGGGTAGTCGATGCTTCCATTGTACAAGTACTTTGGTGACTGCCTTGCCTTGTCTCTTGACTGTCATGCGATCAATTATAGCTTCTAGTTCCTTCTCATTACTGGAATCAGTAGCAGAAATAGGAATACTGACAAAAGTAGTAGCTTCTCCAACATGCTTCTTCAATTGAGAAACATGGAACACATTGTGGACTTTTGATTCAGCTGGAAGTTGCAACTTGTAAGCTACTGATCCCACTTGATCAATGATCTTGTAAGGTCCAAAATACTTAGGATCCAATTTAGCATTGATTCTGAAAGCTACTGAAATTTGTCTATATGGATGTAACTTCACATAGACCAAGTCTCCAATGTTAAACTTCCTATCAAATTTGTGTTTATCAACCAATTACTTCATTCGATCTTGTGCTCTCTTCATGTGAAATTTAAAAAATTTAAGCATTTCCTCCCTCCTTTGAAGACTTCTGTCTACTAACTCCACCTTAGATTCACCAGGTAGATATGGTAAGTAGATAAGTGGGGGCTGACCATATACTATTTCACAAGGATTTGCATTAATTGTGTTGTGATAATTGGTGTTGTACCACCGTTCAGCTAAAGCCAACCATTTAGACCATTGTAAAGGAGTGTCAGCATACATACACCTGAGATAAGTTTCAAGACATCTAGTCACGAACTCAGATTGGCCATCTGTCTGAGGGTGATAAGCTGTAGAAAGCTGAATCTGTACTCCTTGGAAAGCCAGAAGTTCTTTCCATAATTGACTCACAAAAATAGAATCTCTATCGCCTATTATGGATTCATAAAACCCATGTAATTTGAAGACATTATCCAGAAAAGATTGAGCTACTTCAGCTACAGTATATGGGCGAGCTAATGCCATGAAATGAGCTGCTTTGCTTAGTCGGTCAACTACCACAAAAATAACTTGTTTCTCATA